ATCCCCTTTTTTATGGTAAAGGTAATATATAGAGGTGTTGCAATTACATAAGTCAGCCAATGAGTACATTTTCTTTTGAACAATGTCACCCCATCCCCATTTTCTTCCAGTTTTTACCTTTTCACCCCCTTCTCCCACAAGGTTATATAGTTCATTTTCAAGGTAATGTCTAGTGAGTATCGCTGCTCTATTTGTTCACCCTTAAATAGGTCCACAGTAACAGAGGGGAAAAAAATGTTCGGACCTTAAGGTGGTCCTCACACCTGGAACAGTTCACCATGCCGTTACAAGGGTGGTCTTATTTCTCCTTCTTGCAGTTGTGTAAAGGAAAGACAGTAGGCTGTCAAGGCTCGCTCACTCCTCAGGGTTCCTGTGATGAGTAGCTGCAGGTATTGCTGCTGAGTATCCTCGATGAGCTGCTAGTCAGAATAAACCTCCCTCTGTGCCAGAACACTTTGTCCATCGTGGGGCTTGACCTCAGGTCCTGGGCACTGTCCTTGAGCTTTTTGTTCAAGGCTAGCACTCTACCACTTTGAGCTACAGCATCACTTCTGGCTACTCGGTGGTTAATTGGAGCTAAGAGTCTCACAGATTATCCTGCTGGGCTGGCTTTGAACTGTGATTCTTCAAATCTCAGCCTCCTGAGTAGCTAGGATTACAGGCATGAACCACCAGCATCTGACTAAGAAAAATTCCACCTGCTAAAGTCATGGCTCCTGCGCTCCATCGAACTCTGGTTATAGGCTCATATTTACAAGGACCACCCCATCCACAATGCCCTATATGCATGTCCTGCTTGTGTGGGACAGCTATGGTGACTCCTTAACATAAGTGTTCTCCATAATGTTGAGCTAGTGTAGCAGAGAGCTGAGAGTCACCTTTCTGGTCCACATGGGGTCTTCTATGTGCACAGATAGGAACCCAGTTTTCCTGTTCTTTCTCCATCTTCTTAGGACATAGTTTGAGCTATGCATGCAACTCCTTGTTAAACATGTACAATTTCTCTTGCCTTAATTATTTTTAAAAAATCCTGATGTCAGTACAATTTGTGGCGGAGAAGGAGAAAAACAAGTCGTTTAAGGATAACTGTGGACCCGTTACAACAATGAGAAGTACAAGTTGTCATGTCGAAAACAAACTTTACAACTTTGGTGGGGGGAGGCGGGGAGAATGGGGTAGGGGGCAGGGAGAGGCTGGGAAAGGATGTGAAGGGTAAACAAAGGAGGAGGCTACAATGCTTGATAAGAAATGTACTCACTATCTTGCCCATGTAATTGTAACCCCTCTGTACAGTATGTTCACAATAAAAAATAAAAATTAAAAAAAAAAATATCCTGGGAGCCAGGCACTGGTGGCTCATGCCTATAATCCTAGCTACTCAGGAGGCTGAGATCTGAGGATCATGGTGCGAAACTATCCCAGGCAGAGAAGTGTCCCCATGAGATGCTTATCTCCAATTAAGCGCCAGAAAACCGAAGTGGAGCTGTGGCTCAAAGTGGTAGAGCTCTAGTCTTGAGTTTAAAAAAGAAGAATAAAAAGCTTATGGGTCTGGGAAGGTGGCTCCGTAGTAGAGCACTTGCCTTGCAGGCATGAGGCCCTGGGGTCGACTCCTCAGCACCACATAAACAAAAAGAAAAAAGCCAGAAGTGGCGCTGTGGCTCAAGTGGTAGAGTGCTAGCCTTGAGCTGAAGAGCTGAGGGACAGTGCCCAGGCCCAGAGTTCAGGCCCCATGACCGGACCCAAAAAAAAAAAAAAAAGAATAAAAAGCTTAGAGACAAAAACCTAGTCCCTGAGTTCCCATGACTGACAAAAGAAAAAAAAAACCCTGGGAAGAATAATAAACAGAAGACCTAGTTACATCAAATATGTGAAAATTAAGTTAAAATTGAACTTTGAACCATCAATGATCCATTCTCAGTATCAGTAAAGTAGTAAAGTGACAGATAGTTCGACCATGCTATATGCAAAATTTTATACTTACAAATAACTTTATGAAATAAGCATAAGAATCATTTATTTACAAAACATTAAAATAAGTTTCATTATCTAAGTGTATACTCAACCCGTGGTGCAGAAATAGATCAGAGGCATGTGAGGCTGACCGACCGATGTTACCTCCCATTGAGCACTGCATTCACTTCCGGCTCTGTGCATGGGAGCCGCCCACCCTCAGTGGAGACCAGCCCAAGAGAATGCTCTCATCAGAAAGAGCCAGACAACCCATCATTCCAGAAAACGACTAAAACACACCCACACCTATAAATCCCAAACACGGTTTTATCACACGAATTCAGCTCGCTGTGCTTTAATTAAGTCTCATCAGCAGCTTTATATTGAAGTCTGCAAACTTTAAGGACTAGTTCAGTGACCAAAGATATTCATTACATAATGGCATTTAATTGGAAGCGTCCCAAAAAACACTCAAAAATATACTGTCCCAGAAGCTTCTGTCTAAGGCAGACATGAAGTAAAATGTAAAAGAAACGGTCGCTCAAAAACATGATGTAACAGGAACCAGGATAAAAACTGGCAGACTTAGGTACATAAGATTGACTATAGATAGTCTTTTTCCATTTACCACTTTGATGGAATCTTAATGCTTTATTTGCTAAAGGGGATGGATTGGGTATAAAATGTAGAGGTGTATCTAATTGACATTTTTAGAGTATTTGTTTTAGAACAACACAGAAAGTGGGTATTTATCGCCCAGTTGAAACAGTAAAAGAAATGTTTCTAATCCAAATGAATGACTTTTCTTAAATATGAACTTTTACATGGATGGCCATTTTTCAACTGACTTTGCATAAAGAGTATTTAAGGAAAAATAATCCTTTTAGAAAGCCTTATTATTGCATAGACAATTACATCTTCTGTCTAAATCAATAACTTCAGTTATTGGGAGCCAGAAGCACTGGGAAAAGTCACACCAAGTATTTTACTTCTTTTTAGTGTTTTGTTTAGATAGTACACCCTCTGGCTAGAAAAGACAGAGAAGATCAAATTCATATTAATATTTTTGAACTCTCAAAATATCCATGTGATTGCTCAATATCTCTATCCCAAGTTTACTTCAAAAGTAAAGGGACTCAGGCACTGTTTGCTTTCACCTATAATCCTAGCTACTTAGGAGGCTAGGATTTGAAGATCATAGTTTGAAACCAGCCCTAGCAAGAAAGTCCAATTAACCAGCAAAAGAACAGAAATGGAAGTATGGCTCAGGTGGTAGAGTATTAGCCTTGAGTAAAAAAAGATAAGGTAGAATATCCTGGCCCTAAGTTCAAGCCTCAGTATTAGCACACACCAATTAAAACAATGAATCTATCCCTGTTATATTTCCTTTGTAAGGTACCTAATATTGACAACTATACTATAGATTTTGTTTATTGTGTTTTGTTTTGCAATACTGGGTAACTTTACCCTTGTAAGCTAAATAAGTGTTCAGCCACTGCACCACTAGTCTACATTCTCAACCTGTACGTAATGTATCTTAAATAATTTATAGCGTTGTTAGCTTCTAGTTTTACAAATTCTAAGAAAACTTTCAATTTAAATATATCTTGGGATAGTATTTTTCAGTGCCATATTAATCTATTCTTAGTGTCATACCCTTTTGTGATGTATGATGGTCTTCCTGATCTATTATTTGAATTAGAAGCTAGAAAAAAATTGACATGATCATTTTATATTTAAAAAAAAAAAAACACAGTCTTGCTGGACTAAGGTAGTTCACACGTGTCATCCTAACTACTCAGGAGGCTGAGATCTGAAGATCACAGTTCAAAGCCAGCATGAGCAATAAGTCCATAAGACTCTTACCTCTAGTTAACCACCAAAAATAAAAACAGAAGTACAGCTGTAGCTCAAGCGGTAGAATGCTAGCCTGGAGCAAAAAACCTCAGAGACAGCACCCTGGCCCTGATTTCAAGCCCTAGGACCAGCACACACACAGAAAAGTCACAGCCTTAAGCAGTTTGTGTCTTATTCTTAAACACTAAGAGTAATGAATAAATGCTATGAACGACCAAAAATATTCTTGAAATCCTTTGTTCCCTAAGGAATTAAGAAAAGAAAAATTCCTTATGGCAACAACTCGAACATGACACCAGTCAGGATAAAGCAAACAAGAGTGGATAGAAAAAAGTAGGAGGGCATACGCCCAGAAAGGCTGGAATGAGAAAGGAGTGCAGGCCTAGGAACCAATCTTTCCTGCTTCACGCTTCTGTATCGGTCAGGACTTGCCTTCAGATGAGTGCTCAGCCAATGCTGAGAAGCCTGAGTTCCTGATTTCCCCTCCCCATTTCACTTTCCTAACTCATTAAATTCTTTCTTATTCTGACAATGCAATTCTACTCAGTCTCCCAACATGCATTCCTGGAGTACCTGAGCCACAGAACTGTCTATAAAATATTGAACAAAAACACACACTTAAACCACATTTGGCAAAGACTTCTCCAGATCCATGTGTCCCTTCCACCCATGGTATTTTTGTTTCCCTCATAGAAAATTAGCAACCTCATAGGCTCATCATAACGGCCAGTAAATAATCTGAACCATGTCAAAGATGTGGGTTGTGGGAATTGTGCCTCTCATTTTATACTTGAGTTAAAAATTATCAAATATTTTTAATTAAAAAATTGTAAGTGGGATTATCAACACAGGAGCCAAGCTTCAGGTGAAGGCAATTCAGACAGGTTTGGTTATAAAATGATCAGATAGCAATTTGGTACGTGGGAAATGCTGATAGATCTTTAGCTCATGAAATTCAACCACAGATCAAGACACCTGATCCCACAAAGGCACAGGAAGATTTCTTTTTATTTTATTTTATTTTGCTTTTGTTGTTTTCAGTCATGGAGCTTAAACTCAGGGCTTGGACACCATCCCTGAGCTTTTTCACTCAAGGTTAGCACTCTGCTACTTTGAGCCATAGCACCACTTCCAGTGGTTTATTGGAGATAAGATTCTCACAGACTCTCTTGCCCAGACTGGCTTCAAACCACAATCCTCAAATCTCTCCCTCCTGAGCCGCTAGGATTATAGCTATGACCCATCAGCTCACCAGCTTTTCCTTTAGTCTATGTTCCACCACACAAATTCAATGAACAAGAAAGCTTGTTTGCTAGGTCCTAAGTGGTCCTGACGCATTTGCAGGCTGACGTTAGCCAGCTACGGCAGAATGGGAAGAAACTGGTAATACCTCCGAGAATTGTGAGCACCTAGGTTCTTGAGAATGGTAAGAGTGGAGCCTCCGACACAGGATTCCAGCTCAGATTACCTGGTCTCCAAACATGGCATTCATTAGGTCTCTGTGGAATCCTTGGGGAAAATGTTAGCCTTTCCCTAGTGACCCACCAATCTATCTCTTTTCTCTCTGTTGAAAGCTATGTTTCCAACTCAGTAAGATTTTCCTTTTGTGTCTAACACCTGTGGTAAGGTTATGACAAAAAGTGTGTATGTAAACATGTCTTGCTAGGCACTGTTCACAATAACCAAGATATGGAAACAACCCAGATGCCCCACTATAGATGAGTGGATCCAAAAATTGTGGAATATTATGCAGCCATTAGAAAGGACAAAATAATGGCATTTGCAGGGAAATGGATGGAACTAGAGGAAATCATTTTGAGCAAAGTAAGCCAAGAGCAAAGAAACAGATGGCACATGGTCTCCCTGATATGTGGATGCTAAAGCCAAAATGCAAGGAGATATAACAAAGTAAACAAGACTCGAGAAACAAAGGACTGCCACTCATTTTGTTACATCATTGTTAAGTAACTCCAAGTTTTTAACCATATATATATATATATATATATATATATATATATATGCACACATCTGAGGGAAGCTAGGAGGAGGAACAGACTCGGAGGGAAATGGGAAAACATACAACAGAAAGGCCCATCAGCTGCACTGGACAGTGATGAAAATGAACTAAGCAACTCAAAGGCCACAATGAGAGGGAGGGAATGAGAGGAAAAGAAGGAACAGCTTACACTAAGCAAAAGGAAAGAAATGTAAATATCACCTGATGTGGAAGAAATAGTGGCATAGTCAAAGCTCATAGAAAACTTTATAGGCCATGATAAATTTGCCTTGTGAAGGTTAAAATGTGTTTGTGACTTTAAGTCTCACTATTCCACAATACTGTGAAATATGTGAAATTTATGTAATCACCTAATCTCAATAAAAATTATTTTTAAAAAAAATATCTTGATGGCAGTGGGGCTTCAACTCAGGGCCAGTATTTTCTTTCTTCACTCTTTTGCTCAAGGCCAGTGCCCTACCACTTCAGCTACAGCTCTACTTCAGGCTTTAAGCTAGTTAACTGAAAATAAGAGTTTCACAGACATTCCTGCCTGGGTGGCTTCAAATCGAAGATACAAAGATCTCAGCACATTGAACAGCTAAATTAGCAAGGGTGGGCCACTGGTATCAGAGGCTGTCTTTTTGTTTGTTTTTGTTTTTTTGTTTTTAAGTGCTAATGATAGAACCTTGTACATGCAAGGCAACTGTTCTACTCTTGAACTACATCCTCAGCCCTTTCACACTCAATTTCTAAATCTCTAGTTCAGTTAACTACATATATAACCTTTCTAGCACTTCAGGAGAGGTACTCATAAAAAAAAAAAAAAGACTGTGAAACTTATATTGCAAAATTTCACTTAACAAATGTTTCCCAACAAATCTCACCTCTTGAAAATCTTTCATGAAAGGTCACTAATAGACCATCAACCTTTTTAAAATCGTGGCGTGATTAGAATTGCACTTTGAGTATAATCCAAACATGATTATTAAGCAACACCTTCATTTCTTCTTAGCCCTTAGCATTAATTTTCCCATGTAATTTGACTTTTAGGAACCCAAGAGACTATATTTAAACAGTGGTACTGACAATTTTTAAAGTAATTAAATGAATAGGATTCATTTTTTTTTGTCCTTGGGAAAAATCTTGAGCCCACATCTAGATCTTATTTTTAAACCTTGGTGTTTTAAGCATTCTGTTGAGGTGTTTGAAGTACTCTTAATAGTTACTCAATTGTTATAAAACCCAATTTCTATTCTCCTAATCTCTATGATCAAATCTTTACTTTCATGACTTGCAATTAAGCCTCTATTTAGGGATTATGAAAAACCAGATCTACACCTTCTGCGACTTGTTACCATCAAGATGAAGATGCAATCTCCCACTTACAGTGGGGATGGTTTCTTGGGTGTACTGTCAGAAATAAAATGTGTGCTAATGTTTCGATGATGTTACTGAGGAAGCACTTGTAGGCAACTAAATACATGGTAGATAACTTGATTGATGCAAAAGGAAAATGTGCACCATTAAGATTGTAGATAAAATGAGCAATAAGCAATATGAAACATAAGAATCATGGGACTTGATTATGTCCCACAACAGCAGGATCTACACAAATATTATAATTGGGGTAGTAATTTATGTCTTTGGAAAGCTAAAAGACATGAAGCACTGTTTATTGCTTAGGCCCCTGGCGCCATCAAGATGGGTCCACTGGGACACAGCCCCGAAGCCCAACCCATTTGGAGGTGCTTCCTATGCAAAGGGAATTGTGCTGGAAAAAAACTAGGGGTGGAAGCAAAGCAGCCAAATTCTGTTAGAAAGTGTGTCAGTCTGCAGCTGATCAAGAAAGGCAAGAAAAGCACAGCTTTTGCACCCAAGGATGGATGCTTGAGTTTTACTGAAGAGAATGATGGCATTCTGGTTACTGGATTTGGCTGTGGGGGACATTCCCAGAGTCCACTTTAAGGTCATTAAAGTAGCCAATGTGTAGCTTTTTTGACCCTGTACAAGTCAAGAAGTAAAGACTAAAATCCTAAATTCTAATGATAAAAGCACAGTAATAATCAATTTTCATACTCAAAAAGAGAAAAACAACACCACCAGTTAAGAGGATAAAATTGGCCAGGTGTTGGTGGCTGACAGAATCCTAGCTGTTCAGGAGGCTAAGACCTCACATTCACAATTCAAAACCAGCCCAAGCAGACAAATCCAAAAGACTTATCTCTAATTGACCACCAGAAAACTGGAAGTGGAGCTATGGCTCAACATGGTAGACTGCTAGCCTTGAACAAAAGAACTCAGGGACAGTGCTCAGTCCGTGAATTCAAGCCCCATGACCAACAAAAACGAATAAAAAACTATCTCTCTATTCTGTTTGGAATTCTCAAGACTTTATTATTTATCCTAACCATGACCAACAAAAACGAATAAAAAACTATCTCTCTATTCTGTTTGGAATTCTCAAGACTTTATTATTTATCCTAACCATGACCAACAAAAACGAATAAAAAACTATCTCTCTATTCTGTTTGGAGTTCTCAAGACTTTATTATTTATCCTAAAAACACCCTATGTCAACTTTTCCTCCCTCCCCAAAGCAAAGGTTGAATGCTCAGTATGGCTCAGACTATTTCTGGTGTTTGGAACATATCACTGAACAGGAGAAACATCCTACTCTTTTGAAGCTTTTATACTATTGAGAGCCAACAGATTAATCGTGGACATAATGAAAAATAATATATATATAGTAAAATATAATAAATACTGTGTGCAAAAAAGTCAAGCAGGATAGAAAATAAATTATGGTGGAGGCATAGCAGCACAATAAACCATGCTAAACCTGCAACAGCAAAAATATAATAAAGTTATTATTCAGCTGGGTATGGTGTTACATGCCTGGGATGCCAGGAACTCAGGAGACAGAGGTAGGAGAATCGTGGTCTGAGGTCACTTCTGAACAAAAGTGTGAGGCCCTATTAGAAATATTAAGTGGAGACATGCCCATATTTTTTCCCATTCATCTATGGGTGGGCACCAAGACTAATTGCCTAACTGCTGTGAATAGTACCACAATGAACGTGAATATGCAGGTGTCTCAATTGTAGGCTGACCTACAGTGTCTGTCTAACTTTGCTCCTCCTTGTAAATCTCCATAATGACTATTGCAGGCTTAGTAATCTGTTAGAGAGGCTCACAGAGGTGTGGGCAACAGCTTATCAATTGGTTTAGGGCCTATTGAAAAGTTGTAGTACAGCCAAACCATAGGCAACTACTGCCCCCCCCAAAAAAATGAGAAGGTACTCAACAGCGCAAATGAATCACAAACACACCGCTGTAAGTAAACACAAAGGCTACTTATGATTCCATTTACATGACTTATTCGAAATGGTAAAACTCTTGAGACATAAAGTGCATGAAATTTGCCACAGAGCAGGGCTGAACAAGGAAGACAAGGAATTGACTAGAAAGGGAGTTGTGTGAGATGATGGGAAGTTTCCATATTTCAGTGATGGTGGTATTACAATACACATTGACCAAAGTCAATTGAACTCAACAATGTAAAAAGTGTAAATTCAACTTCATGCAATTTTGTGTTATTTGTGTGCCAATCCAGGATGCTATCCCTGAGATTTTTTTTTTTTCTTTCCTCAAGGCTTAGCACTGAACCACTTGAGCCACAACTCCACTTCTAACTTCTTGTTTCTTAATTGAAGATAAGAATGTCAAGAACTCTCTTGGTCAGGCTGGCTTCGAACCTTGATTCTCAGATCTCAGCTTTCTGAGTCGCTAGGATTACAGGCCTATAAACCACTGGTGCCTGGCTGGTTTCATGTAAATTTTGACCCAATAAATTTAAACAATATCCCCCAAAATTACATAACCAATGGGGATTAAGTAATAGTGAAATTATATTCTCCCAAATTCAAACAAAAACTGAATGAAGTTTACATTACTATTACAGGCAGAACTACCTAGCTACCCTCGTTGGTGGTAGATATAAGAACACACAATGGGAGAACTGCTCTGAGCAATCTTTACAGGAAAATCCCAAAATCTTTAGTTTCTTTCAGACTTTTGTTTTTTAGGAAGCTATTAGCTCACACTTACTCAACAAGGAGGATAACTGTCAGCAAAAAATGAGACAAATAATCTGGGAAGGATGGAAAAAAAACAAAAACAGGAAGAGAAGGGGAGGAAGCGCAGTAAGAAAACTTTCCACCTATTTGTGGTTGACAGTTTCTCCAGGCCTTAACACTATCAGTGGCCTTTGGATTGGAACTTCAAACAAGGATCTGGATAAGCAGTAAGGATGGTAAACAAACCAGCCTTTTCCAGAGTCAGCTGGAGACTGAAATGCGCAAAAGGCAAAATGGGTGTGTGGAGTTAGGGGCCGTAGGTTGAAATTGTGTCACTGGCAGGAATGAGTTTTGCTACTTTGAAAGTTAATCATCATCGTCTCTGGGTATACCTTTCTTCATTTCTACGGAATGGCTATCCTAATACGTTATTGATTGTGTGTTCTGAGAACAAACTGAAACGTTGCCTACAGAATGTTGAACTGGTATGGTACACAATTAATAAACCATTGCGTTTCTGTTTTCTTTCAAAGTAGGATAGTGCTGGTGGCTGTGGTGAGTTAAACAAAAAGCTCCTTCATTGTTTCTCTGCTTAAGGTCAATGGAATAGATAGAAGTATTGAGACTTAATTCAGAGCCCTCTCTCACTCATCCCGTCCAAACCTTCCCAGCACCAGCATTGCTATTGCGACTCACATCAGGAATGTCCTTCAATGACTCACAAAATTTACAACCATGAACTTTAGGATACCAACTGAGAAGAAAGAAAACTAAATGAAGCCTAAAACTGGTGGCTCACACCTATAATCCTAGCTACTTGGGAGGCTGAGGTCTGAAGATCACAGTTCAAAGACAGCACAGGCAGAGAAAATCTGTGAAACTCTTATCTCCATTTAACTATCAAAAAGCCCAAAGTGGAGGTGTGGCTCAAATGGTTGAGTAGCAGCCTTGAGTGATAAAACTCACCACCTAGGTCTTGAGTACCAACACACACACACACACACACACACACACACACACACACACACAAAGGCCATTATAACAACCTAGACAAGAAGCAATGAAGTTCTATACATCATGGTAACTATAGTTAATAGTAAAGTATTCTTAAAAATCACTCAGCCCTGGGCTGGGAAGGTGGCTCAGTGGTAGAGTGCTTGCCTTGCATGCATGACGCTCTGGGTTCGATTCCTCA